AAGGGAGCTGAATGAGGAAACCATTGCAGTCAATTTCATGAGACTATTGGGAATCCATTTGGTGATGATTTAATTGATTGAGGTCATTTGTACAAGGAAGAGGGAAAGGATTGCAGGATGAAAAAGGTGGAAGACAGAAAATGAAGGCCAAGGAGTGGGCTTGATCAATAGGGGCAGGCCCACTATTGGGGGAGGTAGGGCCTGTGTGAGGGGTGCCCTTTCTGAGCTTGAAAACCTTAAGACTTTGATAGAGCTTTATTTAAGGGAACTACTACATATATGTGTTCGATAGTTTTTTGGTAATGTGGAAGGATGCTTCGTGGGAGCACATTGGCAATCGGAATGGTTGGTGGCGTGGGCCGGTTGGGTGAATCGGAATACTTTCTCTCAAGAGATGGTATGCGAGAAGGGTGGGTCAGAAGATCACCTTCACCATGGATCAGCTTCACCAATTGGATGAGTTTCACCATGGGAAGATATTGGCTGCCACCACTTCAGGAAGAAAGAGAGATAACTTAACAATATACCAATTACCAATGAACTACTTTTCAATTTTCTTTGGCAGATGGCCTTGATTCAGAGGGGAGGTTTTTGCAAAGGGATATTTTTAGGGGAACTTAGGCTTTAGATTGGTTTACCATCGGGGGCTCGAGATGGGCTTGGTTAACACTGGGAGGTTACCTAATCCTAGGTGTGCATATTGCAGGTGATTGCAGGTGTACGATTGCATTGGGCTCATTAAGCAAAGACTGGGATGTTCGTGGTAGGATTTTAGCTGATGGGAGGTTCATCCTTTTGTTACTTTGCGGTTTTGAGTAAGTCCTTTGTACCGTGCTGGCTGACATTGACCTTGTGACCATTCTAATTGTCAGGGGGGAGGTGGAGGTGCTGGTATTGCAGCAACTATGGTGGAGGAGTCGGGGGTACAAATTTTGGAATTGTATGATGTCATGTTACCACATTCTGGAATGTTCAACGTGCATAGATGTTCAGCGGACGAGGTTCACTTACTCTTTCGTGGCAGCCACCCCTTGGTTGCAGGCAGAGTTTTGCCGCACATGCAATTCCGCGTTTGAAGGCTGGACCTGCTGTGATGAGATACTTCCTGAAACCGACATGGACCCTGAATATGGACTCCAGGAAGGTAAATTGCATGTCAAGCAGTGCTTTAGGGCCTACCTTTGCCTGGGGGCAATGATCCTGGCGATCATGCATGCACTTTGTATATGCACAATTGAAACACAGGCTTGCCGCTCAGTCCGGTGGGTTCTGCCCAGTCAGAGGGTTCTGCGCACAGGTGTCTTCTAGCGCGGAAACTGCGAAGCCAGCCTGGACGATGGCCAGGTGCACAATCCCGAACTTGGAACACTTGGGGGACGCAGTTTGCCCTGTGTAAAATCATGCAACATGTTTAGATAATCTTCGCAAGATCTTCGACCCACAGTTCTTTGTGGAAACTGAATTGGGGGCCGAATGTCTCAATCACTCGAGGCATCGTCTTTTTGGCACAGGGCATCGCTACTAGGAGCAAGAAGCTACTAGTAGCTCCTGGCATTACTACTAGTAAGAAGAAGCTACTGGTAACAAAGCGCATCGCTATATACTAGGAGCAAGAAACTAGTTGGAATCCCTTTCGTTCGCTGCTGCGGGCCTTCGGCGTTTTTGTTCGCTGCAAGGCTGAGTGAGCTTTGCCGCGAGCAGGGCTGTAGCTCTGTGCTCAAGAGCCACGGGGTAGCGGTGATGCCTGGAGCCTTTGAGGTGCTCCGTGGGTTTGAAGCCAGGGTTTGGTCGGAGGGGTTGGGCTGGAGGAGATGGAGGATGAAGATTTTGAGGAGTAGGAGTGGGTGATGTCAAGCCATGGGTTGATTCCGAGCATCATTGGAAGTGGACCAGTATCAAACAAACGTTTGGTTTTGGATGGATGTTTGAGAAGCCCAACTCTGGTACTGCCAGGGCGAAATGCTGGAGGGCTTGCTAGATGCCTTTCTAGGCCAGGAGGGCCAGGATTGAGGAAACTAACTGCAAACACTTTTGGACCAGCGGCACTTGTTCAAAAATGCAAGGAGACTAGGATCCAAAAAGAGAGAGAGAGAGAGAGAGAGAGCGAGAGCTTTGATCATTTGGCAAGCGGCACGTGCCCTGCTTGATTATCTCGCTGGCCTCCCGGACACTGAATGTTTGATTGGAATGTGCACTTGGCCACTTCCTGGGCCGGCCAAATTGATAAACTGTTGTAGGTTTGATGCGCTTAGCTTACCGCTTACTTTTGACGTACTAGCCTCCTATCATTTCTTCCATATTGTCCAGGCATGGAAGTCGAGATGCTGCATGTGTCCAAGCTGCACCCTTGAACACCGCATGTGGCCTAATGACCTAATGAGTGGTACTAGGTACAGTATTTTTGCCCAGTTCCTCTCTGCAAACGATGCAACTATCAGAAATCAACATGAACAGTATGGATTGGGTGTCGGGTCACGACCTTTGTTCGCTTTTTTAGCCACCCAAGGACATGCGCTTCGGAGACCTACGAGTGGCCCGGACGCCATACCATTTGCCCTACAAGGAGAAGCTCCAGATCGCAGCCCTTGCGAGATTGGACTTCCATAATCAACCGATATCAACCGACATGTGTCACGGCGAAGGGTGATGCGCTTCTTTAAAAAATGCAGGTGTTCAAGAGTATTCGATGGGCAGTGTTCGCTACGTATCGCTACGTGATGGGTCAGCGTTGGCGAAACGGTGATGGGTCTGACCCGCTTCCAGTTGTTGCGCCTCTCGCCGCTCGATGCTAGATGTTGTTAGTACGAATTGTGGCGGCCTGCCGCATTGAGGGGACTGCAGCTGAATTTGTCACATTCAAGTCCCACAAGTCCCACAAGTCACAAAGGGGTGGTGTTTAATCCCTAAGTGCGTGGATGTTCTGGGCACTAGACACCCCTTTGTGACTCCTGGTCCACTTTTTTGGGGTCTTTTCCCGCAGTGTGAATTCATAATTGCTACCACTTTGGCCCTTCCTGCTTGTTCCCTACTATACCCTTTGATTTTTGGTGTGGCTCGTTCAGAGTGTCCCTCACTCTTTTGACCGTGTCCGTCGCATTTGGCATGCAAAGTTCGTCGTTGAACACGATCGACATCGTCTATAGTGGCGGGGCACCCGTTCGATCGACATCGTCGGCACCCGTGGTTCGTCTACGGCACCCGGCTGGGGCGCTTGCGTCTGGTCAAGATGCGTCCTCAGCTGAAGGGCTCGAAGACGGCGAATGAAAGGTTGGGGAAACGGATGACCTGGTCCACACGCAACATGGCACCTCTCTCCATCTTTCCACCGTGACCCCGTATGAAACACTTCATCCTTTGACCACCATGTGCCCAGTTCTTTGACCACCTGCGAGTTCCTGCCTGCGTTTGTGTGCAGTCCAGGAGCCCTTTCGCTTTCTTCCGCTGCTGGGTGTAGAGGAATGTTTGAGGGACGTCCTCACTGACTACCTTGGTGAGGATTTTGAGCCGCCTAGACTTGATCGGCGAAGAACTTCGGGGCAACGTTCATTTTTGAGGAGTATACGGCAGGAGTAGGAGTAGGAGCCGGAGTAGTAGTAGTAGTAGCAGTAGCAGTAGTAAAGTTATGCATGCCATAGTCCTCGGCGATTTGGGTGATCATTTTGGGCATGATGCAAGTCATGAGTCAACACTTTTGTGGACTCATGAAGAAATGGTTCCTCGCGGTTCCGTGCGGCTCACGTCACGATTTGGCACACGTTCTGGCTCTCAGCCCCACCCATCCTGACCGGAAAGGGGGGAGTCCATGGCACCTGGCTCTCAGTCTATCGATCGAGGCCGTAGGATGTAACAGTTTTTACCTGAGGAATCTTGATGGTTGTGTGCCTTTTTTCATGTTCACAGTCGGACCTCGAGGTTGGAAAGTGCCATGGTGGTGCAGGTGGATGGTGGCGCTGGTCGTCAGAACGCCCATTTGGACACCGAAGATGCGGGAAGCGTCTCGGTGCATGTGCCCTTACAGCCCTTGCATGAAGGCGAGGTAACCTGTCGCGCCAGGACCAGAACCAGCAGAACCAGGACCATTTGTACAGGGGTTGTTAAGACTGATTTTTTGCTGAAGACTCCGGTGTGGTTTTTCATTTGTTTTTTTTTTTTTTTTATTTTGTGTGTTGCTGTTAATTAAGATGCTGTTTTAGTCTGAGAGTCTTAACTGTTTCTTTACCTGTTCTTTTTTGAAGTCCTGTTCTTTCTTGTCTTGGACCCTTTTCCTTTAGTGGACCTTTCGATATCTTTATCCTGCAACACGGCGCGCACACAAAAAAAAACAAAAAACACCCAGCCATCGGAGAACGGGAAGCCCATAGCTTCTCTTGATGGTGTTCAGGTTTGCCCGCTTCTCTCAACCGTCGCAGGCTTTGCTCCGCTCTCCTTTCTAGTGACGACTCATGAAGATCCTTCCATCCTGGCCGCAGCCGCTGCACCGAGATCCAGACGCCGTGACCGCCGAAAGGAGTTGGGCCCAACGTTGGCACACCAGAGGCGACCGTTGTGACGGGAGCAGTTGAACCCCAAAAATGCATTCTTGAAGATGAAAGACGGACAGACTCACAGGCAGAGCAAGCGAGTGAGCGAGCGAGAGAGAGAGAGAGGGTCAGAGAGTGGTGACTCCGACCTTTTTTTTGGAAGGGTTTTTGGCTTTGAACTGGGAAAGCCTAGCGCAAGATTACAATGCATCAGTGCAATAGGATGCAAATGCAAGTGCCAGACACTTTGTTTTTTTCAAGTCTTCTACTCCACACCTTCCGGCACATCACTGCCTCAACTATAGACATCAACAACTCCGACATCCAACTGTTGATTGCAGATATTTCTTGGGCTCAAGAGTGTGAAGTCGGGTTCACTCTAAATAGAAGAAGAAGGATTGACTCGTCCGGTTTTAGCGCTTCGCTTGTGGCAGTGCGCGGGAGCGACACGGTCCGCGATGTTTGCACGCTTGCTGCAACTTTTGCCCGTGATCACGTGCGCATGGACCAATCAACAGTGGGCCGTGACGATCAACAAAGCCGGCTTGCAGAGAACCTTGAGCCAACAGATGACCAAAGAGTTCTTGCTCATCTCCCGCGGAAGCAAGGTGACCGAGTATCGGGCAAAATTGCTCGAAAGCATGTCAAGCTTCAACACAACCCTCCATGCCCTCATGGTGGGTGATTCGTCCAATGACATCTTGCCAGCACCAGACCACCGAGTGGCCAGTGCTTTGCAGGAGGTGGAACTTGAGTGGATCCCCATGGAAAAGCTCTTGCGGGAGAACATGGACACCGTGAGAAGTGCCGATGGCTCCTATAATATGCTCGTGCTGGAGGAGCTATCTTCCAGGAGCTAAGTTGGGAGTAAGTTGCAGTGAAGTTGATCCATTTGAGAAGGGCATCCTTTTTCGTCATCAGTACTTATTCGATCTTGTTGCATAGTACTCCTGGGTCTTTTCTGTGCCTGCACAGATGTAGAACAACTCCCCAAAACGGGCTCTTTGTGGCTGTCATCCTTGGAGGGAAACAAGTGACCCAAGACCCAAGCCTATGTCTTCTTCCAAAACCAATTCTTTGGACCTTCTAAGAGTCGCCGCGAGGAACGTCCCTTTGCTGGACACCTCTGATGCCGTGGTGAAGGCTTTGGTGGATGCTGCGCAAGTCTCTGGCCGCTGGGCACTGCAAAGGACAGGTTGGTGTCGGGTGGACTTGTGACAAGTGAGAAGGAAAGATCCAAGCAATGAATCCCAAGATAGATTTCTGACAGATGAAGCGCAATCAGAATCCCAAGCAGACTGGGGCTTCACTTGCACTCATAAAAATCGCTCAGAGAGATCAACCATTGGAGACATGAACCGGGGGATCCTTTTGCTGCTTACTTATTGCACTCGGCAGTCGTCATTCACCGGGACCGACAACCGACCGGTCCGCCCAGATATAACCCCTCCCTCGAAGAAACAAGGAAGTGGACAAAGCCCCTGTGCGTGCACATATAGAGGAACATACCAGCACCCTCCAACAGGTCCCCTCTAGAGCCTAGATGCTTTTGTAGACATAAAAGTTGCATGTGGTGACATGTGAAGTCGGGTCCTGGTAGTGGTAGAGGAACCCATCCATGATTGTTGGAGGGCAGAAACCATGCGGCAGCCGGCCGCATGGGGGCGGACATCCGGATGGTTTCACCGACATGGGCTGATCCACTGGGATGGCACCAGGATTTCTCCAAAGAGTTCCCTGAAGAGTGTGCATTCTCAATCAGCCCGAGAACAGATGAGTGTCATTTTAGCCATGGCTCAGAGGGAAGCATCCTCATCATTTCTCACTGGCTAAATGCAGAGTTGCTGATGAAGAAAGCAAATCTCCAAGGTGCGTCAACAAATGGGCTGGTGCAGGACATTGCTGGGCGGCAGAGGACCCTCATCCAGCGCTTGGCCAAAGGGATTCTCTTTTTTGAGCCAAGGTCAGGGCCTAAGGCTTTAAGGGTAACCTCTGCTTGATTCAAGCAAATAGCACCACTACACGGCATTCCGGTTTCTACATCATAAGCAGCAATTGTTGTGGGAAGAGTCGTGAACCCAAGACACCAAAGCCCTTTCCCACGGCTCACTTGACCCCATCAGCATGAGCTTTGTGACTGAACTAAACGAGGGTATCTAAGTACTTAAGGTTCGTGCAGTGTGTGTGTGTGTCCATATTTAAGACTTGGTGCATGAGTTTTTGCATTGCAGAGTCGAGAATTAACCACAAAATACCACAAAGGCGTTACGTATTTCGTCCGGAAAAGATCAAGAAACAAAACACACTACTTAGAAGTTAGAAGCGAATGTTCGCCGCCCTTGGTAGAGCCACTTTGGAGAAATCCTAGACCTAGACGCAGGTGTTTCACTGTGTCGTTTCTTCTCGTGCATGGCGCGATTCCGTCTCACACCAAAGCCAAAGGTGTCTCCATGACCTTCAACATGAAAGCCTACAGCAACACAAAGGTCCTCTTCGAAACCTCCCATGATGGGATCATCCAAGGAGTTCCTTTCGCAGGCCTTCCAGTCTTGAATAAGATGTGCACGCTCCACCAGATGCGCGAGGTCAGCTTCTACTACGAGCAACTTCGGCCGTTGCTCACCGGCATCACCAATGCAGAGACACCCAGCACAAGTCAAAAGGCGGCGGATGCCGTGGCAGAGGAGGTCGTAGAGTTGCTGGATCCGCTCTTTTTGGCCATGGTCGAGGCTGTCACTTGCTCCAGCTGGGTGGGGGTCAAAAGAAGTGGTTTGCTCCAAGCTTAGGATTTGATGCATTTCATATGCATTTCCTATCATTTCATGATCTATGATCCTGTGGAGTTTCTGGGAGCCGACGACCAGATTCCACAAAAGGTTTGAAACCCCCATGTTGTGTGTGAAACCTCCATGATCCTGGCTCCATTCGCAGCGTTCGCGGCGTTCCCAACGTCCACCTGCCTGGGCCCTAGGTAGTGCCCTGGCTCCGAAACCCGGTACCCGCCTTTAGACAAGGACAAAATAGATGACAAAACCACTGATCTTCCAGGCCACTTTTGACCAGTATGACAACGTGTTGCTCCTTTTTTTAGCGGCCCTTGACGACGGCTAAGGTGAAGCTTTTTGGGCAGGATGATGGCAGCTGCAACCCCTCCGCTTCAATGACCCACAGCGAGTGGCATGCCTTTTTCATGACCCTCGCCCAGCAGGAGATCTTGACCAAGACGACCATGCAGTACTTCACGCAGGTCTGGCAGCCGGTGTTGCTTTTGCTTCTTTCGGGTGGCGATTCCCAAACCCCCAGCGGCCCAGGGGCCCATGGTAGGTGATCGAAATCCATCGAAAATCCATCGTTCCATCCTCGAGGTTGGCCTCAAAGTCGATGTCAAGTCCAGCCAGGCGCGATTGGGAAGAGCTGGACGGAGTGGTGACGGAGGATACGGAGGGAAACCAACGGCCAGCGACGACCTAGAACCCACGGCCCACCCACACGACCTCCCATCACCATCTAAGCTACGACGACATACGATGCCACACTGCCACACGATGATGAGTTTTCTAGCGTGGCCAGTAAATCTTGGTGTCTCCCCCAAAGCAACACCCAAGCACAACAGCAGCACAACAATGCAAGACAACATGGAAGAAGCATCGCCTTATTACAGACATGCCAGAAATCCCTTCTTCAGCCTCACCACTTTTTAGTCAAGCGAGGCATGACATGTTTGGCTGGACGCCAGGTGGAAATCACGGTGAGGCTCTCGCAAGCCTCGGGGAACCTGCGGAATCTGATCGAGGGGAACAAGGTCAAGGGGATCCCCGCTCCGCCCTCACAGATGCTCGGATGATCGAGGGGATGGAGGATGCACGAAGGGTCCGAAGGGTGGGTGGGGGGTCAAACCGATCGATATATATATATATATATAAATAAGATATACACACACACATATATATATATACACATACATATTGCGCATATATTTTACCTAGAGACCTTGCTGTGCAGTGAGGGTGGACCTTTCACCTATACCCCCGAAAGGAGAGGAGCGCCTGCGGAATGTCAAGTAGACGTTCGCAGGGGTTCAGATGTTAGAAGTTGTTGGTATATAGGGGCTAGGTTATATCAGCCACTGGCCTCTATAAAGGCCGTTCTGTGACCCCAACACAGATAGAGTCCACTAGCTGAAATAAGGGCTACCGGGGAAGATGACCGGGGGGTGACCGGCGGACTACCCTATTCACCGGGAATGCGCAGATAGTTTGAACTAGTCGTGTGCGTGTGGGTGTGTGTGTGTGTGGTTGTTTATCAACGACATGAAGTTACAACTCTAGTCATTCTTAGTTGCCAATCAAGCAAGTTAATAACACACAAATAATCATAAATCTAGATTTAAACTAAACCAAATACAACTGCATAATTATATCAATATCATTAGATCTATCTTCACTGCCATCCCGCTTTGTGTTCCCAATCGCCCTGGGGCCCAGGGAAATTGTGGATGAGCTCCTCTCCGTGGATGCCACGTGGAAGACCTTCGAGAGCGAGTTGGAGGCCGCAGTTCACCTCGAAAGCGTCTCCTCGGTCACCATGGCCCGAGTGGAGCCGTGGCGGTCACAGTACGCAAACGAAGGGTATTGCGAGTTAGGGTGGATGAGTTTTAGAATTAGTTTTCGCATGTTTTTTTTTTTTGGGGGGGCATGGGTTTCCGCTTCACAAACAAGTTGAACAGGTGGAAAATAACAGCATGTGCTTTATTTTTGGCCTTGGAAAATGAAGGAGTCATTCACTACGACCCCGTGATAGTTAAGCCACACCCTTTGGACTGGAACCTCTTAGAAGCGAACAAACACCTACAGACAGCTAAGAGAAAATGCTCCAAACAATCATGACAGACACAACCAGACCCAGGAACCAGAGCCACGTGCGTCTTGAACCCCAGAGGTATATGTTGATATGGTCCTTGACCTTGCCCATCCAAGGACCTTCTGGGCGAGAGGATATTGGAGGTACTTGGAAGGGTGATGCACATGGGGCTTGCCATGGTGACCAACACCACTGTCCCAGCTTATGTCATTGACCAGTCTTTTGGGCAAGCGCTGTTGGCATGCGAGATAACGCAGAGCGCTGTTCTTTTGAACTTTGACCATGACGTCACCAGCAACTGGGACTCCCTCAATGCCTCCCGCGCCGCGTATACCAGCACCATGTGGAAGCTCTTGGAAGGTGAACCAGGGAAGTATCATCGAGTCACCGATGTATGCCTAGTACACCAAGTCAAGCACGCGAATGATCTTTTTCGCCGCTTCGAGCAAGCAGCGCTATCGGTTGGCCATGGACATTCCGTGGACATGGAGAACTTGGTGCTTTTGAGCCCTTTGGTCTTGAGGGCGTTGGAAGAATCAGCCGCCTCCCGGCGAAAAAGACATGCTCATGGGCTCATGGCCAAGGAAACCTCCTTGTGGGGACGAATTATGGAAAATATGCATTAATATGTATAGTATGGCCTCAAAACATATATATATATATATAGAGAACAGCAAATTCCCTCTTCAAGTGTATTTTGGTTGTTTGTACTTCAAAACTTCCAATTCAGTGCGTTTAGGTCTCTTCTTTTGCAGTCCCAGGAGTCCTTATCGACTGGAAATAGCAGCTGCGGCAACACATCATTGTTGGCGGATGAATGGATCCAGCTTCATCAGAAAGCTGCTGCCATAGCCACCTTGAGCCAAGAGATTACGGCTGAGTATATCCTGGTAAAGCAGGGTGAGCCGCTTGGACAGGTGAAAAACCTGGTGAACACTTATGCGAAATCGTGTGTGTGTGTGTGTGTTTTGCGTTTGAGCTGTTGGTCCAGGAGCCCGAGAGGGATCCAGTTTTACTTCTTGTGTATGTTGACAGTTTCTTTTCTTTTGTGTGTGTATTGGTATTGTGTGTGATCCTTCGTTTGGCGAAGCCAAGGGCTTCGGTGACGTTTGTAACGGTCCATTGGACCACTGGTGTACGCTTCCGCGACTCATGTTCGACGCTTCCGCGAACACGTCACGTATGCGCCTCAGGAGCCACAACACTCAGCGGCTTGAAGTCCTGGTGGAAGACTTGGACACCTCTTTGCGACACATCATGTTTGGATCCTTCGATCCGCCGATTGCAGCACCACCATCGCAAGAAAAATTCGATCACATGCTCACGCACTTGGCACCTGAAGTGGCTGACCTCAAGCAGGCCTGAGAACAACATGGGTTGACACCCGACCCCTAACCGCTGATGGGCTACTGTTTAGAATTTTTTTTTTGGTTTTGCCCGTGGGGCAGTTGTTTATCACACAGTCGCTCGTTCAGGTCCAGGTATCCACCGCTTTTTGTGAAAATGGGGCACGCCTTGGTCCAGTTCTTGGTCACGCCTTGCTCAGTCATTCATACTGAAGTGGAAAACAATTGTGATACTGATACTCTTGAAAACTTTTTTTTAATGGCCTCCACCCTACGTGGAAAACCCATCCTCACGCAGGCGATTTTTGGCATTGACGTCACCACCGTCCTCAACGCCGGGGACAAAATGATGCTTGATGCTCAGACATTACAGGACCAATGCCGCTGCGTCGTGGTTGTTGTTGTTTGTTGTCCAGCGCCGTGGTGGGATGTTGTGGGTGTGGTTGCTGTGGCGGAAGTCGTTGTGATGGTGATGTGCTTGTTGTTGCTTGTGACTTTGATTTGGTTGGTTGATGTTCTTGGTTGTGGTTCTTATTCTGAATATTGTCGTTGGCCGCTGGCTGCCAAGCTTTTGAGTCAGTCATAGGTGCACAGCCTCGTACAGCTTCAATAGTAATGGATAGTAATGGTGTACATGTTGAAAGGTGCTAGTTTCCCATGTTCTCGACAGGCATGTGCTTAATTATGATGGTTTACGCGTGAGTTTACGTGTGCAATCGTAACATACCTTTTATAGAATACAATGATCAGTGTTTGTACCTATGTTTCAGGCATTAAATCGCCGCATTCTCCGAGCATGCAAAGACTGGATGATGCACCTTATTCCAGTATGACCCCCATATCATCATAGTAGAGTTGTATACCGGTTTACCTCTTGACATGCACAATGTAGCAAGCCTGGAAATATAAGACAGAACGATTGCCTACTGCTTGCTCAAAATCCATAATCCATGAAACAACAGTATAGCGCAAAGCATTCAAGCCTTGCAACACATGTAAATGCAATGTCCTCCACATAAGCCCAAGCACAAAACCGTGGTATTGCACCATCCAAGACATCCTGGCTTTACCATAAGTCCCAATACGAGCACACATTGTTCAGGACCTACTCCACCATACAAAAGACAGCTTTCTGGTTACAGGTATACTTCTTTTAGGAAAGCCTTTAATGTTTGCAGACGTGTTCTTTCTTGCAGGTTCTTTTTAAACAGTAAAGCCTTATCGCTGCAAAAGTCCTCTTGATTGTAGACAAAAGTGTATGTCTTAACGGCATGTGAGAGAGTTTCGAGCTACATTCTTAATGCATGTTACCCTGGTGAATGTCATGTTGGTGCAGAGACCGCTGTGCAAGCAAGAGCAAGTGCACCTCAAACCCACTTGTTTCAATGAAAAACACCACGGTTACGTTCAAGGAAAATTGCTTTTCAAAACTTCTAATACAACTTCAACGGATATCAATGGAATTAGTATCTTTCAAACACGCTGTAGCTCTGACGAGGCTCATTTCAAAAGTAATGGCTTCCCCCCCCGGGGAGATCTTGTTTCTCAATGTTTCTGCGAGATTGGAATTGCACTTCCTTTCTTTGACATGAAAGAGCATGAACCCATACACCAAACAAGGTGAACATGGTCATTGCCGACCTTTGATGCTGGCTCAAGAAAAGCAGGGTGACCGTGTCTTGCTGTTTTCACGTTCTCGTGGCTTCGTAGGTTATGAGCCCAAACCTCGGCCACTGACATCCTCACCATGGCCAGCAATGCGGCTTTGAACCGCAGGCGCAGGCAAGCTGATGGAAGGCCGAAGCCAGAGGCCAGATCTGAAGTGCTGGAGGTTGGCGAAGCTGACGGGCGCTTGGACGCTTTGATTGAAGAAGAACAGCGTGCCGGCCCGAGAAGCCCCACCTCTTGAAGGTCCTCGAGGAGCGCCGGTTGCCTTGAGCCCTGGATTCCCTGGAAGCCAAGGTCGAGAAGTTAGCATGAGCACTGGTTGCACTTGGCAGGGCATCTTGGAGCAACGTGGCCGGTGGGGGGACAGTTTGATCCTCGAAATTCGATGGCCCCTCGAGTGTTGGACTATGTAGCAGGAGCCTCAACCACACCAGAACGACAATATCAACCTGCTGCTAATCCATGTTGGAGTCCAGCGGCTCAGGAGAGTGTCAAGACATCCACCCCTGGTGGTGAGCCAACTCAGGTAGCTGGGATGGGGAGTGGTGTGATGGAGCAAGGTGGAGCTCATGGTCTGGATCCTCGAAGGTGTTGACCGTGACTGGAGGCCTGGGTGGAGATCCAGCATCTTTGTCGCCTTCAGTGGATGAGGTGGAAGCGCTTCGGGCACGCATGCAACAGGCGGAGATGACCTTCGAGAAGGAAATGCGGCGCCTTGCAGCTGGACGTGAATCCGGTGATGCTACCTCATTCAAGACAGCCTCCAGTGGGACTCAGGGAGCACCTGCAGGGGAACCACAGCTACATGCTCCTCCTGAACGACCACCTGGACTACCTCATGTACAAGGCGGGGCCGCAGGACCAACATCGCCTATCTGTATTGGCGAGGGAGTGCCTGTTGCTTCAACGACGGAGGCTTGGAGGAACTTGGAACTGCCTTCCTTGCCTCTGCCCAATGTGGAAGGTGCGTCTATTCTCTTTGGAGATTGGTTGACGATGGCATTTCCACTCATGGCAGATATCTCCAACTCCGCGAAGGGCTGGTGGGAAGAATCATTGAGTGTGGCACAGAACCACTATACACAATGGCTCACACTGACCCCGCTGGAGCGTATTCGAAGCGACCTGAGGTCTCTGTGGCAGCTGCCTTTCAGCGGATTGAGCAGAGGGCATCGCTATGCTGTTGGGGGCCTTGCCAGATGGTGTGCGCAGGGGGCAGGCAGCTGTCGGTTGCGCACACCCTCTATCTATCGACGGCACATTGCCTATCAACCGGGCGGTGGTGCAGAGAAGACCCAATTGTTGAAGAATCTGGTTGAGGCCAAGTTCACGGCGGGCATCAACGACCTTCTGACTCAGGTGAGGCTGTGGAGGGAAGAGCTGAAGAGCTAGGTCTGTCCCTGCCAGATCCGATTGTGCTGATGGTGGCTGTTCAGAGGATGATTGATGCTGCAACGAAGATTGGAGGGCAGCAGTTGCCCTTTCGACTGGCCAATGCCAGGCAAGAGCTGAAGGTTGACCATGCGGCCACTTTGCCGTCGGTGCGGGAGCTGGCGGAGTACGTGCAGGCGGAAATTGAGGACATGTCATTGACGACACCCACGAAGGCGATCTCAGTGGCTGCAGGGCCTCAGGCTACAACTCAGTCGATCTCTACGTCCTTGAAGGCGATGGCGTCGGCTTATGGAGGAAAAGAAGGAGAAGAGCGCACGGGGTCAAAGCCAGCGTGCAAGTTCTGGAAGAGTGATGATGGATGTAAGAAGGGGTCTGGGTGCATCTACAATGGGGTGTCCCTGAAGTTAAGATAGTTGTAACTATGTTAGTCAAGTTGGAGAAGTTATAAAGAAGTTATAACTAAGATATTCAAACAAATTATAAATAAGTTGTATATACATTATAACTATAAAAAATAAGTTGTATATAAGTTACAACTAAGTTATAAGTTCTGTCAGTGCATGTAAATTACAACTAAGTTATAAGTTCTGTAAGTAAAAGCAATTTTCACTTTCATGTTTTGGCAAAATGCATATCAAAACACGTTTTCTTGCCACTGTTCTGTGTTTTTGGGGCGTATTCCTTACTCTTTTCTTTGTTTGTTGTTCGGCTTGCCTTGGTCTCGGCGGTTGTTTACAGCGGTTGTCCGCTTGGGCGGTGGTCCGCCTGGGTTTTCATTCTTTGCGTTCCTATAATAAATCAACAGTTGCAGTGTTGGAGATGGTCCGCCTCACAAAAAAAACAATTGTTATTGCAAGGTGAGGCCCTGGCAAACCAGCACTCAACCAAGAAAATGAACCTTGCAGCGGACAACCGCTACAAACCCTCCAGCGGACAGCCGCTACAAACCTTCCAGCGGACAACCGCTACAAACCTCCCAGCGGACAACCGCTACAAACCTTCCAGCGTTTCACTCTGCACGCCAACTCCAGGCACACGACGGTGCGACCATCCACATAGTGCCGAGAAGGCTGACTGCAGCACTTCTTCAGCTCTTTTTCTGCCAGAGAGTTCAAACACACGTGTGAAAGGAACTGTGCTTTTTTGTTCATCCAACTCCTCCAAGATACAGAACGCTGACTTCTCATTCTGCGCAAAGAAATGAATCCAGGCTGCTTTGTCCTTCTGGATGAGATCATCGTCCGTTTGTAGATGAAGCGACCCAAGGCGGTAGCCCTTGGCAATGCGAAAACCCTGCAGCTCAGTGCGCAACATCTGAAAGCAAAGTGGTCCCTCTGACTTGCGCTGCGCCAGTTTGCGGAAGAAGCCAACCGTCTCTTCCTGGCTGAGTTTCTCCCAACCTTCAGGCATGGTCTCAAAGTTGCGAGACATCATGGTGACAGCATTGCGGCAAGCCTTGCAGACAAGGGTCCCAGCGCCACCTTGGCTGATGCGCTTCAAAAACATGTTCTCAGGCGTCACGGGAAGCCGACATTTGGTGCAAAGTGGTTCACCTTCTCCCATCTCCTCAGTGGGTGTCTCCACACACTGCACTGTGGGGGCTGGAGCCACAGCCAGGGCAAGCTCCGACTGCGTGACATGACAGCAACGAAAGAGTCGAAGAGATCTACCTCACTCAGGCTACTAATGGCTGTGGATATACGATGAACAATCATCAACAAAGGACAACCACGGATACATGGGTATACATTCTGTATACATTCCGTATACATATGTGTGATGTATACGGAATGTATACGGAATGTATACGGGATGTATACGGGATGTATACCGATGTATCCGGTTGTGCCTTCTTCTTCAGTCTTCACCTATACCAACTTGTGAAAGCACATTAAAGTTTATGTGTCGATGTATCTAAACCTATCTGTATCTTTTTGTATCTGAATCCAGGTTGTCAACCAAAAGGGTTCATGTTTTTTGAAAAGACAACCGCCAAAACCCTTTTGTAGAAAACCTGGCGGACAACCGCCAAAACCCTTTTGTTGACATCCTGGCGGACAACCGCCAAAACCCTTGTGTAGAAAACCTGGCGGACAACCGCCAAAACCCTGTTGTAGAAAACATGGCGGACAACCGCCAAAA